TTAAAGAATTATTTATTGAATTTTACCTATTTATTCTTCTTCTTCAATTTGACTATATATAGAGAGAGAATGCAAGCTGCCATGTTCGTGACTCGAACCACAATCGGCTGTGTAGGAGTCCAGTGCCCTCACCAACATGCCACCTGCTGGCCCTGAGAAAAGTAATCTCTAAAAAAAAATTTTTTTTTGAGACCAGCAGTTGGCATAATGGCTATGTCACTGGACTCCCATGTAGTCAACCGCGGTTTGAGTCCCGGACTCAGTGGCTTAAACTCACACCAGGTACGTGTGCGTGCGTGCCCAAGATCCCCAGAGGAGAATGGAGAAGGGATTGCGGTGTGGCCATCCCCCCTTGGAGGTGATTTCTTACTTTCTGTCTCTCTGTCTCTCTGACAAGCACATGCGCCCTATAGCAAAAACCTCTCAAAAAAATTATTTTTTCTTTCTTTTACTCAAAATAGAGCACATGGGCAGGTAAGAGACAGAGAAGAATCACCCCCAGAAAGGGACCTGGTCACACTACTATTCTTTAAGTTCTCCAACTCTGGGCCGGCAGTGGCATGGTGGTTAAGGGTGCTGGACACCCACATGGCCAACCAAGGTTTGAGTCCCGGACCTGATGGCTTGCTTTATCACTTTCTCTCTCTCTCTTCCTCTCTCTCTCTCTCACTCTGTCCCTCTATGGTCAAATTAAAATAAGTAAATAAATACATAAAATAAAATTAAGTAAAATAATTAAAAAAACAAATTCTCCAACTCATCAGGATCCCAGGCATGTGCATTGCAGCTGGGGCAGGAAGCTGAATCTGTGGGATCCAGCTTCCTGCACAGTGCTTAGCTGCTCTGCTAAAGGGCTGGCCTGGTCTTGAAATCTTTTTTTTTTTCTTTTCTTTTTTTTTTAGAGAGGATTTTGCTATAGGGCATGTGCTCTAGCCAGAGATTCTGATAGAAAGTGAGAAATTGCCTTCCAGGGAGTATGGCCATGCCGCAATCCCTTTTCCAGTCTCCTCTTGGGATTTTGGGCATGCAAGCATGTGTGTCTGGCCTGAGTTTGAAGCTGCCGAATCCAGTATCGAACTGTGCCTGACCATGTGGGATTCCAGCAATGTAACCATTACTTCATCTGCTGGCCCTGCAGTTCTTTAAATCTTAAAACTGAAACTGCACCACTGTTCTGATGCATTTCAAATATGCTACTAGGAAAGAGAAAGGAGAAAACAAGAAACATTAGCTTTTAGTTGATATTAAAGAAAATGGCTAGAGATAATTTCCACCCAATAATTCAAGAAGCAAAAGAGAGTCTGATGGATAGATTGCTCCTTCTGCATTGCTGATGAAAACAATAAATTGATCATTTCTCTCTCTCTCTCTCTCTTTTTTTTTCTCTTAACAACTAAAAAAAGGCAGATGCAACACCCAGAGACTGGCTAAAGATAAGGATAATAGTGTTCTCTGAAAACCAACATCAAGAACAAGGAGTCCTATCAAGCTTCTCTAGTAGTTAACTAGGGAAAGCTCCTCATTCTCTCCCCCCCCCCCGAGATATTTTTGCTATAGGGTGCATGTCCTTGCCAGACAGAGAGATAGACAGAAAGTGAGTAATCACCCCCTAGGAGGGATGGCCACGCTGCAATCCCTTCTCCAGTCTCTTCTCAGGATTTTGGGCATGCACACTCACGCACCCGGTGTGTTTCTACGCAGGAGTTCAGCGACATAACCATTACACCATCTGCTGGTCCCTCCTCATTCTATCTTTATGGGGGAACAACTTTGTTACCGTGATGGAGATATCCATTCATCCACTCACCCATCAGTCCAATTAAAACCACTTACTGAGCACGTAGCGGTGCCAGGCCCTAGGTACTGTGTGTGGAGGGAGACTTAAAAAAAAGGAATATCATCTTTTTTTTTTTTGAAGAGGTTTGTGCAATAGGGCATGTGCACTCGCCAGAAAGACAGAGAAAGAAAGCGAGAAATCACCCCCCCCGGGGTGGGGGGGGGTGGTCACACTATAATCCCTTCTCCATTCTCCTCTAGGGGTCTTGGGCATGCACGCACACTCGCCCAGCGTGAGTCTAAGCCACCACGTCCGGAACTCTAAGCCACCAGGTCCGGGACTCGAATCGCAGTCGACTACATAGGAGTTCAGGGACATAGCCATTATGCTAACTACTGGTCCCAAAAAGGAATATCATTTTTTCCCACAAAGATTTAACAGTCTAATGAAAGACCAAAAAATTGTCTCAAAAATAAAGTGTTTCAGAGTTCAACCCCGCCCTTTCAAGGCAAAAGCCAACTCTGGAAAAGGAGGAAAACTAATGATAATAACAACAAAAAACCTTTCCTTGGAAAAATTGAGGAATTTGGAACTGGATCTCAGGGTAGGGCTTGATACCTTAACTCATAGCCTGATGGTCTGAATACTGTTACTTAACCTTTCCAAGCTTCACCCTCCTCTAAAAAGCAGGGGTAGTAATTTCTATCTACCTATCAGGGCTGAAGCTTAAATAAATGAGAGGATGCAAATGAAAGGACCTTGTAATATGCCCGAGGTCCCAAGGCTGAATCAACAGAGCGTCTGAAAGTCAGTTTAGAATAGAAGTGGCTGGTAGTTTTGCCTCCATGGACAGAGCTGGTGTGGGTGCACAGAAAGCCATCAACCTATCTCAGTGGGAGCAAATCTTCCAGCGGAAGCTAGAAATGCAGTTTTACAATTCCCCCCTCCCCTCAAAATAAAAGCAGTGATCAGATTCCTTCCTTTTGTTACTATGCTGCATTTGTGTGTGGGTGGTAAGAGGAATGAGGAATAAAGCACTGGATTTAGGGCGCCTCTATTGTGTGACCTTGGGCTCACTTTACCTATTCTCGCTTCGGTTTCTCAACTATAAAACAAGGACTTTCCTTCCTTTTTAACTATCTACCCAGTTTTTGTGAGGCTCTAACTGGATGTTTGAGAAAGTGCCCTGGAAACGCTAAGGCACCTGGCAATACTGTTCAGTAATTTCTTTCCCCCTAACAACTAGGCGTTCCGAAAAGGAAGCCGCCTCCGGTGCTTGCTTTGTCACTCTCTTTTTTTCTCGACCTTTATTAACTTTGTAATTTACAATCACAGAAAACTGGAATCCTATGGCCATTTCTGGTGCCAGAGTCGCCGGCCCCACCCAGATACACACCACTAATCCACTCCGCCGACTCCGAATCAAGGAAACTTAGCCCTTTCGCACCTGCGGGCGGGCTCTCGTCTCCAGGCCCCACCACCGGGAATTCCTGAGACCAATCCGCACAGCCCTCGCTCATGGTACCGCCCCTTAAAAAGTGGAAACATTATGGCGGCCCGGAAGAGTGGCAGGCCTGTGAACCAATCACTGCGGAGGGCTGGCCTCATCCGGCAAGGCCCAGAGGCGGGGTCATAGACCAAGATGGACAACCAGAGCTTCCAATACAATGATCCGGAATTGGAGGGGGGCGGGCGCCAGGCTCTCACAGTGCGGTTAAGGCCCCTCGAGCCAAGGGCCCAAGGACCTGGTCCGGACAACAATTCTCCCTTTTATCCACCCCAAAGGTCTGCATCCCACGGTTGCTGCCCAGTCGCCCTGCCTGCAGACTATGGGTGGGGTGAGGACGGAGAAGGCGGCAGCTGAACCCGCCTGACAGGCCGAGCCAGTGACAAAGAGCCGGCGGCCCAGGCTGAAACCTGGGAAGCGATCCTTTTGGGGAGAACACAAATTGCTTTAGAGATAGGAAAGATGTAACTCACATTGTCGATCACGACAGGCTGGTTGGCGATCACATCGTAGGATTCCATGGCAGAGGAATCTCTCCTTCCCGGGAAGGAACTGCCAGCCGGGTCCGCTGCTAACGCTACTGACACGCATGCGCAGCCTAGCCACCGGTACAGGATGGTTAGGGAGCGGCCGGACCTCGCCCCTGAGACTACAAACCCCAGCATGCAGTGCGACTGGCATTTGGAACCCCGCCTAGTTTGAGGGTTCGGGCGTCTCATTTCCGATGCACAGTACCCTGGGGCTTGTAGTCTCCACAGATTTAAATAAGTAGCCTGAGACACGGGTTGATGTTTGTAGTGTATGACTGCACCTGTAGTAGTCCTTTTGAAGGAGTTCGCAATGCATGCTGAAGAATGTGGTCTTTTCGCGTACTTATCTGTTGTTCCATTTGGACTGGTCTGTAATTCTTGGATATTTGTATTTTACAGATCAGTCCTGTCACTAACCCTCTTGCCTTGGACGATATAAAATTGTCATGTTTTTTATTTAGGTCTATGACATTGATAATCATCTCCTATCATCTCACACTCAAACAGAAAAGAGATTTTAACACACATGCACACAATGGAAGTACATGTTCCTAAAAAAAGGGAAGTCATTTAAATTGTATAAATTTAGCTTTAAGGGAAAAAGGGTGTACATTTTCGTTGCTTTTCGCATTTTTTCCTGGATAGGTGTAAACTTCGTAACAGGTGGATATTGATCTGAAGACTGGCATTTGTAACTACTGGTATAGGTCATTAAAACATCATCTAAGGATTTCTGGACCCGCTCTAAGTATCCTATAAGTTTCTTGAGGAGCTAGAATTAACAAGGACGGGTGAGAGAAAGTGGAGGTGAAAAGAGATGATGTGACACTACTTTAGAATGAGCCCAGTGCATTTTCTCTGGATTATTTCTTCCTCTCACCACCCCTCCCCCCATAATTGCAGGGGCTTGTCAATAGCATCAGGAGCCATAACACTTATAATCTGTTAAAACTAAAGCCACATGGATTAATGAATATGTTGTCAGATTTATGTTTAAATCGTTGTTAGAAGCATGTCCAAAAAACAGTGATAAACCTTTTGTCGGCGCACTTCTCAGTGCATTCGTGGGACCCTAGCACCTCAGAAGGATGCCGCACTTCTATTTAAACCTACGTTCCTCCTAACGCTAGAGGGAGACCTAGAGCCTTGGGACTGGCCCAAAACAGGGGGAGGGAGGCGGAGCCTATTGTCGAGACACGCCTTTCCCGCCTGTGACTGACACAGTTTTTAACCAATGGGTGCCAGGGTAGGGCGCGCCGGCGCCCCGCCCCCTTGGGCGCCCTGCGGCCCCGAGGCACCCTCTGGCAGACTCAGCGGCGGCGACGGCCTGGGCGGACGGTGCGCGGTGCGCAGGCGCGGAGCTAGACTTCGCTGCAGCCCCCGTCGCCTTGGGGAGTCGCACCCACCGAGTCCACCCGCAAGCCCGTCACCCCCGTCCCCACCGCGCCCCCAGCCCCTGGCCCTACTGCCCCCCCGGCCTTCGCTTCGCTCTTTCCCCCGGGACTGCACGCCATCTACGGAGAGTGCCGCCGCCTTTACCCTGACCAACCAAACCCGCTCCAGGTTACCGCTATCGTCAAGTACTGGTATGCCCTGGGCCGCGGGGAGACGGACAGGAGCGGGCTAGGAAGGGTTAAAAGCTCCGGGGGCGAAGTAATTTGCTGGCTGGAGAGGAGGAGGGGAGAAGAATAGTTAAAGCCCTTGGAAAGAGAGTTTCCTGCTGCGAAGGAAGGAGTTAAGGCTCCTGTTGGCTTTGGGGACAAAGGGGTTAACGGAGACTGTGGGTAGAGAAGAGTTAACCGGGATTAAGAGAATAGAGCAAGAACCGGGGGTGTGTGTAGGAGCGCTGGGGCGAACGGTGTGAGAGAGGGAACTGTAAACGTGGTGAAAGGAGGGGGCGCCTGTAGGGGGTCATTAGTGGGCGAGGGGAAGCCGGGGGCGCTGAAATGGGATGGAGAGGCGAGGCGGGGCCTGGGGAGCAAAGAGAGCGCTTTGAAGGAGCGAAGCTGGAGACGCTCACAAGGCACTGCATAGGACAAGGGGGGCTCTGAGGGATCTGGGGCTCTCCTCTGGGTTAGGAGGGGCGCAGTGTGAGAGAGTTGTGCTTGCGAAGAGTTGAAGAGGAGATCTCCTTTTGATACCTTCCCGATGAGCTCAGGCGTCTTATCAGTGCAAGGCTTTTGCTTTTGAAGTTTGACGAGTAACTCTTCCTGATAAACTTTTTGCTTACTCTGCACAGTTCTCTCTCCCTGCAGAGCTTCTTTCTGGCTCTGCAGCTGCTTTGCTTTAGGACATTAGCTAAGAAGGGGCAAGGAGATCCATGATTTGGCTCAGGATTGAAGGGGGGACATAGCTTTCCATTTCCAGGGGGATGTCAGTAAGGCAGATCTGGGCCCTTGGGCAGGAGGGAAGAAGTGCAGGGGACACTAAGAGGAGATTTCTGGCAACCATTTTTCTGTTTGTTTGTTTCCCCCCCCCTCCCCCTGGGAAGTTGAGAATAAATTTCCCAAGTTACTCTGTTAAGGATCAGTTTAAGAGGAGCTGCCCTTGAAGTAAGAATGGACTTTTCTAATTTCCCATTCCTGTTTGCAGTCTGTTTCTTCCTGAAGTCATTGGGCAGAACAGGTGTTACCAGGACTCTGGAAAAGAGCCCATCCTCAGGTCTTTCTGGATCAGAAATCAGCTGAGGTATTGTTTGAATCTGTCCATGCAGTTGCTGTTGCGATGATCCACTTCAGTGAGTCCTGAAAGACTGTTCAGGCAGCTGCCTGGGGTATGGTCAAAGGGTTGGCTGAAGAGGAAGTGGATGTCTTTGCTGGTTACCTCTCCCTTTTGGCCTGAGTCTTTCTCCTTGGTAACAGCCTCTTACTTCCTCTGGAAATGGCAGTTGCTAGGCTGTGCTGGGCTCAGGCCAGCTCCCGGTGTCAGTGGGAGGATGCAGAGAGGCTGACAGCGTGGAGGACTCAGGAACTAGCCACTGGCTCTCTAGGGATGACCATAGAAAGTCACCTCCTCGATCCTGGTAAGCAGGAGGTGTGGTCCGCAGTGAAATACTCTCTGGCAAACTATTCTTTGGTTGAGAGGAGTTTCTGAGAGCACTTCTGAGTGGACAGCAGCTCTTGCTGACTTAATCACCCATTCGGAGTGCTCCTCTCTATGTAACTGTTGTGATGAGTTTGTTGTCATGTGTCATGAGAAATCTCTGTCTCAGATTAGAACAACTCTTTTTATGTCACTCAAGTGGCCGTGAAGGATAGAGTTGGGTGTAAATGGCATCGAGCACATACAGACGTTAAGACTGGTTTGTGTGTGTGTTTTTTTTTCCTTCCTGCTGCAAGCTTGTTAGCCATGCCATATTTTCAGAGATGAGCCAGCATGTAGTGATGAATAAAGAGGATTATATAGTGCTTCATAAAATTAAAAATGCTAGACACAGAAGAAAGTACGAGGGGCTAGCTCAGTGACCGAGTCTAAGATTCAGAGGGGTTTGCAAACTTACAGGCTTGAAATTCATTCATATCCCTCACCTTTGGATCCCACGAGGGCACTTCAGTCCTCCTGTTAGGATGACTGACTCGCGGGACCTGGGTCTGGCTAGGCTGAGTACTTTGGGATTTCTTTCACAGCAGAAGGGTGGCTCTTTGGCTAGTGGTCCCTGGCTGGAAGGGACTTTGTAGCTGAAGGCTGAGACTTTGCCTAGCAAGGAACAAAGCAGAGATGCAGAGCCTATGCCCTGGTCCCCCTCCAGTGCCATAACTGCCCTGCAGAGAGAAGGCAGGTGTTCAAAGAATTAAGTTGAGGGATGCTCTGGAACCTTGGGTAATATCTTTTTCTAAGTATAATAAAATATGATTATTTTGTACAAACTCATCTGGTCTCTGAGTAGAGTGGAATATTTTGTGCTTGAGGACAAAGTTAACTTTGACTCTTGGCGATTCCCTGCCATTGGAGTTTTAAAGTACAAGCTTTTCTTGATGTGACCCCTCCTAGGAGAATTGGTCAGAAAGGGCTGCATATGGTATGGCAAACGGAGCAGGGACTGGTGAATGTGCTTTTGCTGCTTGCTGCTGGGTGGGATTTGCAGCCAAAATCTGGAGCAGATATGGGGCCTGTAGTTACTTCCCTCCATCCTGCAGTTCTGTAGCTGTAAGAGGGTCCTTCCGGGATCTCTACCCTTTTCTTTCTACTTCCCCCCACAAACTTTTCTAAATCCAACTGGTTGTAGAATTAATCAAAAGATTTGGTGAAGTCAGAGTTAAGATCAGACATGGAGATTTGCCCCCTTTCCTAACTCTCTCAGTTGAGATTCTAAGGCTGTTTGTATTAGCTTTCTTACAAGCTCTATAAATAACTTAGCATTTCTTAGCAGAGAGTAAAGATTTCTATAAAGGCAAATAATATCCTGGCAAAAGGGGCTGAAACTAGACCTACTGGTTTTAAATAGTGTGTAAATGGCATGTGCTGGCACACTTGCTGGGATCACGTGAAGCATGCTTTTCTTTGATTGTTAGCTTTCCTCAGGACACTAGCCCAGGTGCAAAGTGCATCCCATCCTTGTCCCTGGGGCAGGCAAAGCTTTTGCCATCTGCGGAATGGGTCAAATGTCCAAGGCAGCTCAGACGCAGTGTTGGTGGGCTAAATGCAGACTTCCTTCGCTCATGGTTTCCATTTAGTCTGCTTTTCAAGTGAAGTAGGAAGAACAAGAACTCAATTTCTTTACTGGATTGTTGGGAAAATCGTTATGCATTTTTGCAGAGAAAAATATGTCATGACTTTCCAGATGACCCAATGTATACTCAGATCACTTCTGTGATTCCAAAACGTGTGGGGATTTGTTTTCCCTGCTGGAAAGGAAGCAGTTCTGTAGTGATCACCAGCTGGACATCCTCCAATCCGATTCAGTTTTGAAGCTGTCTGGTAGATGGTGGGTAGTAGACAGTGTCCGGTCACACAGGTTGAGAGCTCCGTTCCACAGACTGTCCACCCCTGCAGGCCCCAGTCGCAGGGCTAGGCCTCCAGCACTTCTGACTGACCAGCTGCAAGCTGAGGTTCCATGACTGCCGCTTGGAGCTCAGTTAGTTTCCTAGAGTGACTCATTGAACTCAGGGAGACACTTATATTTGCTAGGTTATTATAAAAGATACTTTAAAGGATACAAACAGCCCCATGAAAAGGCACTTAGGGTGAGGTCTGGAAGGATCCTGAGCACAGGCACAAACATTCCCAGAGTTGGGGGGCACTACCCTCTCACTGTGAGGATGAGTTCTTGTTCACCCTCTGCAAGCCTCTGCATGTTCAGTTGTCCAGAAGTTCTACAAGCAGTGTCTTTTTATTTTATTTTATTTTAGAAAAATTGTTTGCCATTGGACACATGTGCTTGCCAGAGAGAGAGAGAGAGAGAATGTGAGAAATCACCACCACCACCCCCCTGCCCCCCACCAGGGAGGATGGCCCTGCCATAATCCCTTTTCTTCCATTCTCCTCTCAGGATTTTGGGCATGTATGGACACACACCCAGCATGATTTTCAGACTGCCAGGTCTGGGACTTGAACCATGGAATTGCCAATGTGGAAGTCCAGTGCCGTAACCACCATGCTAACCTGCTGGTCCTCTTTTTTTTTTTTTTTTCCCATAGGATATTGGTG